TGAGATAGTTAAAAATCTCCATGGCGGCAGGGCTCCAGGGGTGGATGAGATCTGCCCTGATTTCCTCAAGGCTCTGGATGTTGTGGGGCTGTCCTGGTTGACACGCCTTTACAATCGCATGGACATCGGGAGCAGTGCCACTGGATTGGCAGACTGAGGTGGTGTTTCCTCTCTTTAAAAAGGAGGGCTGGAGGGTGTGCTACAATTACAGGGGCATCACTCTCCTTAGACTCCCTGGTAAGGTCTTTTCAGGAGTAATGGAGAAGAGAGTCCGATCGATAGTCAAACCTCAGATTCTGGAGGAACAATGCAGGTTCCGTCCTGCCGTGGAACACTGGACCAACTCTTTACCCTCACTAGGATCCTCGAGGGGTCATGGGAGTTTGCTAGTCCAGTCTACATGTGTTTTGTGGACTTGGAGAAGGCATTCGACCGTGTTCCTCGAGGTTCGACCGTGTTCCTCGAGGTACACTGTGGGGGGTGCTACACGAGTATGGGATTGTGGGTCCGTTGTTACAGGCCATTCAGTCAAGCAGTGCGAGAGTTTGGATTGCATTGCCGGTTGTAAGTCGGACCCCTTCAGAGTGGGAGTTGGACTCTGCCAGGGCTGCCCGTTGTCACAGACTCTGTTCATAACTTACATGGACAGAACTTCTCGGTGCAGCCAGGGGGCAGAGGGAGTCTGGTTTGGTGGCCTCAGGATTTCATCTCTGCTGTTTGCAGATGTTGTGGTTCTGTTGGCGTCATCGCGCCAGGATCTTCAGCTCTCACTAGAGCGGTTCGCAGCTGAGTGTGAAGTGGCTAGGATGAGGATCAGCACCTCCAAATCTGAGTCCATGGTCCTCAGTCGGGAAAAGGTGAATTGCTCTCTCCGGGTTGAGAGTGAAGTTCTGCCTCAAGTGGAGGAGTTCAAGTATCTTGGGGTTTTATTCACGAGCGAGGGAAGAATGGAGCATGAGATTGATAGACGGATGAGTGCAGCTTCTGCAGTTTTGCGGACTCTGTACCAGTCTGTTGTGATGAAGAGGGAGCTAAGCTGTAAGGCAAAGCTCTCTGTTCACCGATCAGTCTACGTTCCTACCCTCAACTATGGTCACAAACTTTGGGTAGTGAACAAAAGAACAAGATCGCAGATACAAACGGTTGAAATGGGTTTTCTCCGCAGGGTAGCCGGATTCTCCCTTAGAGATAGGGTAAGAAGTTCAGTTATCCGGGACAGACTCAGAGTAGAGTCACTGCTCCTCCACATCGAGAGGAGCCAGTTGAGGTGGTTTGGGCATCTAGTATGGATGCCTCCTGGACGCCTCCCTAGGAAGGTGCTTCAGGCATGTCCAACWGGGAGGAGATCTTGAGGAAGTCCCAGTACACGCTGGACAGACTATGTATCTAGGCTGGCCTGAGAATGCCTTGGAGTCCTACCAGAAGAGCTGGAAGAGGTGGCTGGGGAAAGAGAGATCTGGGCTTCCCAGCTCAAGCTGCTGCCCCTGCGACCCAACTTCAGATAAAGTGTGGAAGATGATGGATGGATGGATGGACCTTTTAGAAAAATGGATTTAGCATATAAGCATCAGTTCCAAAACGAACAAAAGAGGACAAACCCCACCCCCCATCAAGGTGGAGTTTATTATTTTGGGGAAATAACTGGTTAAAAGAACCTTTTAAAAGCGCAAAAGAAAAAGCCACAAAATCGTACATATTTTTTTTTACCCAACACGAAATCACCATAAAAGGAAACCTTTAAAAACCCAAGTTTTATGAATTCTGCCCTGTAAGAAAATGCTTAGAAAACCAATGATAGATACTCAAAATAACTTATTCAGAAATTTAATCAAGAATTGATTAAGAAATAATGGACAAAAAATGTGCATTCATTCTAATTTTCACTGTAAAAAACTGCCTTTATTTGTTTGTTTTTGCTTTCATTGCTGACTCATGTTAAAATGTGAAAATCAACATTAGGCTTGATCTGGGTGTTTGAGGTCAGAATGCCCAAGTTAATCTTGTTTTAAACTATAATATCGCCACCTGGTGCTGGAATGAAAGACCTGCATCAGTGCTGACTAATTCAGTGAACCTTGGATCAAAAACTACAAATCTACAATAAAACCCATTTTCAGCAAAGGGAAAAACTAACATATGTACAACCATCAAGCTTCTTTTGTCATATTTACATAAGTCACATTTTAGTAATTAATCAGACATCTAATTGTGCCTTTGACAGCAAAAAAGGTAAATTCATCAAAAAATGAATAGGAAATCCATAATCATATGGATAAAGACAAGAAAAACCTGCAGCAATGCAAGTTCCTACCTGAAAAACATTGCCTCCTATTGTCCCAGCATGACTCTCCTCTTTTCCAGTCACATCACAAACATCAGAGGCAGAAGCAACACATCCATGTGTGCACATGTGTCTGAGTGTGTGAGACTGCAGCTTTAACGGTCCGCCTCGGCTGCATGGAGCTGGAGCTGGCAGAGTGTATCAACAGCTACCTTGCTGGCACGCACGCACGCACACACGCACGCACGCACGCACGCACGCACACACACACAGCCTCTGTCCTGAATGCATTAACAGTTTTGAGGCTCCCCCTGTCAGCTTGTTCTGTAAAGTCTGTTTTTCTCTCACAGTCTTTCTCCTCCATGTTTTACTCCCTGTTTGACTGGRAACACACACGGCAGCTTTCATTTAAAAGGGATGAGCAAATCTGCTGAGCAGTCATGTCTAAATCATTACATCATTACATCATACACTGGCTTGCACCTCTGCATGCAGCTTGTTCCAGCCTCACCATCTCCTATGAGCTAATGGTTCTAGATTTGTTCATTTGTCTGCATCGTAAGCAAAATATCTCAGGAACCAATGGGCTTTAACGAATCTTTAAGAAAATAATCATCTAGAGCTGCCTGACTTTCTCAAGTCAGTCTGATTCAAAATGGCAGCTAAAGATAAGTAACCTTAGCAAACACAAAGACAGCTTTAAGTCAGCTAATTTTATAGCGATTGAGCTAAAAAGCTGGTGAGCTATTAGCTGAGAGACACGGACAAGACATGCATGAAGCACTAACTGATCACACCAGTTCATTTTGTTTTTTTAATTTGTCATTAATAATTTGAGTTATTATTGTCTGTTAGAAAAAATATTTCAGGAATGACTGGATTAATTTTACCAAAAAATTCAGAAAACAATCATTAGATGTAGCTCTACAACTAATTGCCTTTTGGAGTCAACCCAATTCAAGATGGCCACCACAGCTAATTGATTCTGGCTAACACAAAATGGATATAATTTAGTCAAATTTACAAATATCGAACTAAATTTATTGTATAGTAGCAGATTTTGCATAACACCAATGCAAGGTTTGACCAAAGCTGCTACAAAAAAAAAAAAACACTGATTTTTGTTTAAAACTCGGACATGAAAAGCAGCGTGGCAAGGGTCCTCTAAATAGCATTTTGAGGATATTTTTAGTGTCAATTATTTGCTTGTGTAGTTTTTGAATTTTTTGCACAGTATAGGTAACACACCAGCATCAGCTCGCTCTCCTCACCTCGTCTAAATTCACCCAAAAAAAGAGCTCAAAAAATCAACGAGGTGGTTTTAGTGACGTTTCATCAGCAGCAGTCATTCAGTGTCTTCTGCTTTCAGTTCAACACAGAGTCAGAACGCAGGACAGAGGCGAGGACTTAAAGAAAAAGACACAGTGTGTGTGTGGGGGGGTGGGGTGTTTTTGGTGACATTTGGGGGCAATTTTAAGGCAAAACGCCTACATTTGGGGACAGCTGATGCCTTTGGGGACCTAAGTCCAGTCCCTGTTTGTTTTAAATGCCATTGGTGGGTTGGGGGTTGGGTTTAGAACCAAGGTGTGAATTGAGTTTAGGTTAGTTTTAGGGTCAGGTAACCTGTGAGGTTAGCCTTAGGGTTTGTGGTCAGCGTTAGGATATAAAATTACCAAAAAAAAAAATGAATGGAAGTCAATGCAAAGTCCCCACAAGAGTATATAAACAAGTGTGTGTGTGTGTGTGTGTGTGTGTGTGTGTGTGTGTGTGTGTGT